TCCTTTACACACAACCAGCTACCCGGATCTTAGGCCTCTTTGGTTCCCGTATCAGTCCAAGCAGTAATTGCAGGGGAATAATATATATGGTAGTGGCCAAAATGGTGGAAACGCTTCCAATTTTTAGAGACTGCAGAACTTTATTCCAGTTACTCCAGTTATTTAATCATCCAGTGTATGATATTTGTAAACACTCTTTGATTGTTTATAAACATTATTGCCAATATTCATGTAGTAATTTTTATAGTGTGATGCCAAAACTGCTAGGTGTTTCCACACTTTCCGCCATTAGTATATAAAAGGCAAAACACAAGTCAAAATACCCACTAAAGAAACAGGGATTTCGCAAGACTTTCAGCATAAACATACTGTACTTGTAGAGGAGTTAAGCGATTAAGTCCTGCACCGTGCCCTGGGCGAGCATCAGTGCCAGTGCCTCCCGTCTGAGGTGAAATGAAATTGCCTGGGGGTGTCAGCATCACCTCAAACGTTGGCGTCGTAAGCAGCCGTGTTTGTCGCCGTTAGGATCAACTAGCCCTGATTATGTCCTAATATGTTGTTCATTTGTACTTATGGATTATCATCTGTTGATCCCTTAATTCAAGAGAGGTGTCCCGGCATTTAAAAACCATGCATATTTTAATACATGCAGGTGATCAATTAATTGTGAAACATGTAGGTGATCAATTAATCGAATAACCTATGAAAAAGAAAGCCTGGATCTGCCATTTTAATAAAGGAAATAACATGAGTATTTCATAAAACATACACAAAGATAATGAAGATGAAGATAATAATTAAGCAAATATAAATGCACCAATTAATTATTGAAAAAGCAGGATGCAGAAAATGGATAAATCTGTCTCAACATGCAAGGAAGTAAAATAATTGTGCAGGATTATATATCTACAGGCCTGACTTCTCATTATCACCACTGCTGTCTTTGTGTCAGTGTCCTTTCGTTATGTTTTCACAGCCGTTTTCTTCTGATTGTTTGTATTTGCATCCTAGCAACTGAATGCCAGGAGGGGACATCAGCAGTTAAAATTGCATCTGTAGGTCAGTATATAGAACATTGTTCACATACCTCTGGTATTTTTGATAACAAAACCTGGAGTGTTACTGAAGGATGACATCTACACGCGGGAAACATTGCCCTAAGACAGTGTTTCTCAACCCGGTCCTCAGGGACCCACAGACAGTCCATGTTTTTGCTCCCTCCCAGCTCCCAGTAGGGATCAAAAATGTGTCTGTCTGGCAGGGAGCTGGGAGGGAGCAAAAACATGGACCGTCTGGCAGGGAGCTGGGAGGGAGCAAAAACGTGGACCGTCTGACAGGGAGCTGGGAGGGAGCAAAAACGTGGACTGTCTGGCAGGGAGCTGGGAGGGAGCACAAACGTGGACCGTCTGGCAGGGAGCTGGGAGGGAGCAAAAACGTGGACTGTCTGACAGGGAGCTGGGAGGGAGCAAAAACGTGGACTGTCTGACAGGGAGCTGGGAGGGAGCAAAAACGTGGACCGTCTGGGGGGCCTGAAGGTCCAGGTTCAGAAACACTGCCCTAAGTTAGTCTCAACTGCAGTGTTTTTGGAAGAATTCTGTCTGTTTTCTGCAGCAGTTCCTAATGTCCCCCGAGCAAATGAGCCTATTGTGATCAGTATATGACTACAGAGCTATTTGGGGCTATGGCTATGATCTCACGCTAACCCGGCTCGTATTTCACCGGGTGATACTCAGTGTGACTGAAACGTGTTCAGTTAGCTCAGATGTCTTGCCATTATTGAAGACAAGGACCAGTGATACATTTTACAACATGGTGGAAACAGCGGGCAGCTTGATTCATGAACGGCTTAGATGCAGTCATGTAGTTATGAATGTAAAAGGTATAATACATGTCTGTGTGCATGGGAAAAAGGGTGGAAAAAGGACCTCACATGTATGTAGGACTGCACTACTGCTGAAGCCAAATCATCATCATCATCATCATCATCATCATCATCATCATTGTCGTCGTCATTAAGCATCATTATCATCATCATTTTATTATTACCTGGCGAATAAAGTGAATTCTGATTCTGACTCTGATTAATATTAATGTGGAAATGGACAGGTTCATGGATAAGTTCATGGATAAGTTTGTGTCCATGTAGCACAAATGGAAATACATTTGCACTGATTCCGGTATGTTGCCTGTTTAATGTTAAGGCTATTAGCCAGCTAACTTTATTGCAGACAGCATCAACCTGCAGGCTCCAGTGCTCGATGATAACTAATGTTAGCCTATCAACTGAAAAAATAAAGAGCCACTCGCCCTGTTTACCACAATCAGTCTGATGTTTTGGGGATGGTTTGCTGATGCCCATGGCTATGTATGCACGCTGAAGGACCTGTCATTTACTTGCTCATAACCCCTGGCTGTGTTGTTGGGGAGTGAAGCGGGGGAGGGGGGTGTATGTATATATTTTACTCAAACTTTTAAAACGATCATAAAAAGGTGAGTAAACGCTGTTTTGTGATTAATAAGGTGCATTAATGGTATTTACATGTGTTTACCCTCTACTCCTGCTAGGATGGAAAGAGAAAATAATAATTTTATTGTGATGGCTTAGTGTCTGAATGGGCCTCCAGCGGATTTACTATTTCGCTGCATTAGATTATATTAAATTAGATCATTACTTGGCCCCGTATCTTGGTGCACAATAGTCTCCTTTGACAGTAATAAAGCCAGTCAATATAACCCCATGTAACAAATTTATGTTTTACAGCATGCATTGTATTTGTCTTCTGAATTCTTGTTAATCAGTGTTAATGGCAGTGTTTCATTTAGTAAATAATTCCATGAAATCCGATTCCCAAATGAAAACATGATGGGGAGGGCAATCAAAATATCGCAAAGATCTCTGAACTTAATGTTGCTTTTCTATGTCAATAACCTTGGCTGGTTAAGTCTGATTTAAACAAATTTTGACTAAATTTTGATAAAGCAGACATTAAACTCTGCCAGTTAAAGAATAAGTTTCAGATGACTTGCTTTCTCCAAGTAATTTACAATGACTGGGCAATTGAACGTCGGCCATTTTCCCTGCGCACGCTTGCCATTTTTGGTCAGCTGTTTGGAGTGAGATTTTCAATTCGAGACAAACCTGCACACATATTTACATGTATGTACTGTAAGAGTTTTATTACCTTGTAAATAGTCTATAGGGTTTGCAAACTGGCCCACTGCTGTTGATGTAGCTAAAGTTAGGTTTATAATGGAGTAACATAGACTTGCTGTAAGATTTCTTGCGTGAGCGTGAGAGTCTGAAAGCATGACTGTCACGCTAGAAGAGTGAGAATTGGCCTGCCTATGGATTTGGTAACCATGGAAACTAGTAAATACTCAGATGAAATGGTGCATCCATTAATCCATCCATCCATCATCCAAGCACTTATCTAGTACAGGGTCATGGGTGGAAGGCCGGAATCATATCCCAGGCAGCACAGAACCTCAGAACCCAGGGCACATTCAGCCCAGTCCAGGACATATACGTACAAGTTCTCAAAGCACAATATTGCCACCATGTAACCAATATTGGTTAATAAAAGGCATATTATTCCATAAGTGGTTCACTGATTACAGTTGAGATGGCAGTAACGGGGCGTGAAGATCCTTGGTAGGTGAGATTACCATGTGCTGACTGGTTTGCCCCAGAGGTAACCACTGAAACAATCCACAGGATATGGGTCAGACCACTTGCTGTATGTTTCAGAGACTCGTTTATCCTGGCACTGTTTTTCAATGAGTAGGACGCACACAATACTTAGTAAATTGACCAAAAAGAGCTGTTTCCACAATAGGGCACCTATTTTAAGCAATAATTTCTTTCCTGACCTGAATGTTTCGGAAATGGTTCAACAATTCTCCCATCTCACCTGTTGTAATGTTTGGCATTAATACTGGCGATGGCTTCACAGTCACAAATCTCACTAGCGCCCCCCTCATGCAGAAATACACTGTAAATTATCTCTCTGTGAAGAGCCAGGAGTTGGTTTAGGGTTGGAAAATGCACGATGATGCTGTCTTTCGATTAGCATCGGGGTCAGTGATGCAGACAATAGCCACCACCAGCTCATTGGTGGGTCGCCTGCAACAGGTGGGATTCCCCCCCCCCTCCCCCTCCCATTCATCACCTGTAAGCTTCAGCAAACCACAGTCTACGTGGATTTGCCGAAAAACCGCACGGCGTGCCGGAGGCTGCCCTGTCCCTTTCTGGGTCACGCGACGCAGCACGTGCGATTCCAGCACAGCGAAGCAGGCCAGACGGAAAGCGTGCTGGAGTGGGCGGGTGTCCCTGCATGGCCGCCCACTGGCTGCGTCCATGTGCTTCGTCACCCGCTCACTGTGATGCCCAGTCAGAATGCCATCTGCCAGGGAGGACTGGCTCGCAAATAGTGGGCACACCACTCAACTGTGACCATCACACATGGAAAGAGAGGTATATAGGCCCAGAATGACCTAAATGCCCATTTGTGAATTTAAATTAATGATTCATTCAATTAGTGAAAAAATAGCATTTAAGGACTTAATAGACTGAAGAGAGCTGAACTCTACATAATAGCTACCCGTGTCTATATCAGAAGCGGCTGGTCCATAGGTTCGGAGAAGGTAGTACTGCAAATATTTTTTAAATTATGAAAAATCTTTGAAATAACTCATTACTAAACATTTGGTCATTGAAATATACATTTTTGGGCAAAAAAAAATCCTTATCGCAAAAATTGTAAAATGTAATATTTGACCTCCTCTTCTTTTAGCTACCAGCCACCACTGGCCGGTATATAAGGAAAACGTTAGCAGGCCAAGTTAGAGGCAAGAATTACATCCCAGAGAGTCCATAAGGAACAGAAATGGGAATGGAGGAAGTGTCTCACATGATGTCATACAAGGATTCTGGCTGGAACATCCACTGGCAAAACACCGATGCACATTTATTATTCAGAAAAATAAAAACAGATTTTCCACAGGGTTACACATCTGTTTTATTTTATTTATAATAGAAAAACAAAACAATTATACTGTAGAAGATCTAAAATCTTTTCCGGTTAACATAAAATTAGTCATCTAGCAGCATTAAAAGGTAAATGACTTTTAATGGTCCAGTATTATTGTACAGGTTTTACAGAAAGAACCATGACCGTTATTTCAGAATCGCGCTGTTCTGTCCCGGTATGAAGTTACAGTCTCAGTGTGTTGTTCCACATATAATATAGAAATGCATACAAATAACAAAAAAATGGCATTTATTAAATTACAGAAACATATATTTGTAGCTTGATCTCAGCGTCTTTGCTGGACAACAGAATTTTACTCTGTTCTATAAAAGAAGAAAAGCCATAATAATACCACTACACTCGTAAGCAGATTTCCTTTTTTTTGTAGAATTCAGCTCTTGGCTGCCAAATGTGGCTGTTACATTGTATAATTAGGGATACATTTTATTGAAAAATATATACTTAGACACTTAGGAAAACATTTCAAATTAAGTTTCCCCGGTAATTCATCCGCAAGCCTTTCCGTCACGGCAAATGCTGTTATGTAGAAAGAAAAAAAAAAACTAACAATTTACAATACACTACATAAAAGATTTCCATGGAATTCTACTAGCATGTGCCATGTTACATCATTTGTTTTTTTTCCAGTTGCAGTTCAAAATTTCAACAAATTCTGAAAAGTGATGAAAAGTCTAAATCTGCATTTATAAGAATTGCAATAAAACAATAAGACAGAATTAACTTGACTTCAATAATTATCTGCTTGTCAGAAAGAGACCCTATAATAGTAATAAATCCAATAAACATGATTTTTTTTTAGCACTGGAAAATGCTGACTCGTAAAATCCCACGAGTAGGAATATGCCAAGCGTGTAGCGTGTAGCCTTCCCGGTCTGTGTGTGCCTCTCCCTCCGCAATGCGAGTGCACTCCCCGCTCCACTCCGCAGTCACAATCTCCATCAATCAGCTACGTGCATGCATAGTCCATGATTAAGACAATAAAAATACACAAGAATGCGGAAAGCAAGACTGATACAAAAAATAAATGTCATTTTTTTATACTCAATAATTTGACATTTTTGGTAACTTTTGGCACTTTTCACAATTATTTCACAATTATATATTAGTATTGCCCATTAACAAAAAACATAAGTCTGCCCCCTTTATTGGTTTTTTTAAACCCACGTTTCATCCTTTTTCAGTTGTATCAATCATTTTCTTCTTAAACAGCTCAACATCAGAAGTTCCTTCTAAGGGAAGGAAATTTAATGACTTTTGCCATCATGCATGAGACAATCTGGACGGTTTTGGCACAAACATGAGGCAGTGTCCTCCATGGTCCAATAGCAAGTAAAAGGACAGAATGCAAAGATACAGGGGTAGGTTTAAGTGCCAAGTTCCACTGAAGCATTCAGCTATTCTCCAGAACTGAACCTCAGTTCTTGGCATGGACAATACCAAAATGCATTTGAAAATCTTTTTTCCCCCCCCCCCCATATTTTTGTTATATAATTTGTTACTGTAGTGCAAAAAATGTGTATCCCTCGATATACTGTACATTTGTTCATATCTAAATTACTTCAAGAGAAAAGTATCAAAAATTTTTAAGCGCATCTAAAGTGCAGCATTAGCGGGTTAAACTCTAAATGTTTAAAATGACACTACAGTAAAATCTCTCTCCGGAGAGCCCACCGCCAAATGGCTAACTGTTCTCTCTCATTATCTATGAAAGAAAATGAATGAAACTGGATGAGGAGCACAATGCTGAAGACCTCAGATACACATCACCACACCACACCGCATGTTTAAACGGCGATCTCTATTTAACATTGCAATATATTGCAAAACCACATTAATTGCTGTCATGCAAAGAAGCATTCAAACAAGGTGCCTAGAACCAAGTTTTTCCACCTGTAAACAAAAGATTTTTTAAAAAACGGTGTTTTTCTTGATGATAGAGTAGCAGAACCGTACCACTAGAATGGACCTGAACAACAGTTTGAGTGACAGTGACACAAAGCGCCATCTCTTCACAGAAGTACGAATGACCCAACATTACCCATCTTTGTTCACACAGCTACATACTAAACAAGCACTGAAGTTTTATTAGTGGACTTTAAAGCAACACACCGCTGCTTTCAGTTTAATTGTTTACCTGTTTTGTTTGTAGTGACCCATAATGTAATAAAATGATAGCCAAAATGTTGTAATTCATACTTAACTTCTGATGTAATAAAATTCTTCACTTAATAATGTAATGAGATTTTTTCCAGATATTAAAGTGTTACACTGAGCCTCTAACACATTTATTACATTATCACATTATGAATTGCTACAAAATTTCAGTTGAGGTACCTTGTTCTAGGGTACAAAGCACAGGGACACCCCTCTCACTATAACTAACTTGCAAACTTCTGGTCACATCATCAACTTCTTGACTCACAATCTACTGCCCTGTGCTGATTTTGACAATCATGTGACTAACCGGCATTCACAATATCACTGAGGTATGTGTTCATCCCTCGATCAAACATTCGCAGGACCATTACATCATCTACTTACTAACCCTAACAGTCCTTCGTAACTAAGTGTCCCTGAACAATCTCACCTTGAAATAAGCAGAAGTGTCACGTGACCAGAAATTACACCAAAAAAAAAAAAAAAAAAAAAAGAGAGAAAAGCAAAACTGTCAACATAAGGCTAGATTCTCAATATACACCAGTCTCTGACTGCGGTTTTTCAACAGGTAATGTCCTCTGAAGACGACACAGAAAGGGATCGGAAAAGCAGGTAACGGAATGCCTAATGGCCAGCTGAATCCTGAGTGATATCCAGCCCTGTTGCTGGAACTGAGCCGTAGAGCCAGACGCTGCTGTCGAGTTTCCCCCCTTATATAAATACAACCAGGGAGGAAAGAAACGCCCAGAAAACAAAGCATTGTGAATAAGATAATGCTCTGAGGAGCAGGATCTCAAAGTACTGGGCCACATCTAAACATTCTTTCTTACACGAGACGCCCATTCATGTAAAATTTTTTTTTTAATAAAAACAACAACATAAAGGTGTAAGGCAGAGGCACTCCCTGACAGACACTGGAGGTGTTGTACATGTAGGTTGGTGTTGGACCCAAACCAGTCACACCAGCAGCTCTCACACGGTACATTCGGCATTCCAGTAGCTCGTCCCTTAGGTATCATACTGCGTCAAACTCGCTATCCACTCAGGCCACTCCTTCTGGACAATCTGTAGGCAGACGTGCTTTTGGTGATCAGAATGCCTGATGCCAAGACAATACCTGAAAAACTTGGTTAACGCATCAGTGCGAGATGGGCAGAATGGAAGGTCCTCTCACTAACACCAGCCCCGAGCTGATGTGACAGCTGTAACACAGCGCTCCACGTATTCAGGCCGGCAAGACTGTGCTACAGACGATAACACAATCCACAGCTCTCACAGAATCTCCATGGTGTGAAACTTAAAACCTCCTTAAGCACTTCATGACCCAGAACGATAGACTACGAATCATCCTTTGACTGACACACACATACACACATACACACAAAAAGCCGGATAAGTCAGCTGACCTTGCTTCTAAATCACTAAACCAGCAACAATTTCAGCCGTCTGCCGTCCCTAAGCAATCATCTGTAGGACATTAATTAAGTCTCAACCAAGGCTGAGGTTACGTTCGTGCTGGGAGATTGGGTTTAATTAAGAACGCTAACTGTTGATTAAAAAATGAGCTTGGCGGTTTCTGCTTGTCACAACACAACCTCCAAGAAGGTGCATCTCTGGGGTTAAGTGACGCTAAGGGGACGCCAAGTAACCCATCTTAACTCGGTAACTAAATATTGCAAAGTTCTGCATACACCTACATATGCATAATGCCCATATACAGGTGACAACATACAATCAAAGTGTTACATAGTTACATATAACCTCAAAAATGTTCAGTTTTCTAGACTATTACTCTATTGATAATTTGTTCTTACATTTGAGGGGGGGGGGGGTCTTCATTCTCATTTTTATCAAGATCCTTTCAAAACCTGAACCATTTAAGAACATACCATGCTTCATTTCACAAGACATAATTTGCAAATTTAAAGTGAAAATACTCAAATATTCTTACAAAATCTGCAATGCCAAAAAATTCTGTATAAATTTACCCATGAATACAACAAAATTGGGTTAAAATACACACACACACACACACACACACACACACACACACACACACATACTTTTTTTAAAGTGCGAAAAAGCCTTGAAATCAATCCTACAATTCCATACAACCAAATGACACAGACTCAATGAAGCTGGAAGCATTCTTGTGCCAGGATTACGTCATTTTCCTTGTTTTCATTCATACTCTCTTCCTAAGCATGAATCTCAGTTAAAAGCTAAACAAAAATCGCACAGAAGCACACATAGGAAATTAACCACTATAACAGAGACGGCAATTAAAGACTTGCAATAAATCATGTGAAGAAGCAGATCCATAACACAAGTGCGTCAGAAAAGTCAAACTTTACATGGAACACGACTTTTTTAGTTGTTGTTGTATTTCTCTGAGGTCCAGAGACCGACATCGGCCTTCGCCAACGGCCCTCAGCCTTCCAGCCACGCCAGTGTGACCCCTACCCATCTCCATAAACAGCAGCTCGTGACGTTAGACTGTGCACCACGGTGCCCCTGGAGTTCTTTGCGATACAAGGTCCGATGAGGTTTAGTGGGTTATGAGGGAAACAAGGTTGTATGATCGGTGGCTTCCAAGCCAAGGTCTTCCAAAGGAGGATATTTGAAAACATGCTTAGTACGGTGGGTAGAGCCTTGATTCCACACAAAGGGGTCTAGCATGTAATCATGTGCCGGGGGGGGGGGTTAGCGGGATTCCTGTGGGGAGGAAAAAGCAAAAGAGGGTTTTGATTAGGTATATACAGTAAGCCTGTTAACTTTGGTTCCTGTTTAGCTGGTGCCTAACTGATCTACAGGATACATGATGTTAACATTGACATCTCATGTACTGCACATTCAATCATAATCGCAAGCACCCCTGATAGTCGGCTAGGTCGAGACTCGGGAGGTATCTAGTTTTTCATATTGCCCATATATGGCGGGGATATTGTATTTTGACAGTGCTTTCATAAGCAGCCCAGTTTATCGTTTACAGCTATTAACATTTTCTATGACAATGATAAAAAAAAAAAGTCAATATTACACCGAGACAATAACACAAAGATTTCCTATCAGCCACACATTGTATCTACTGTAGTATGAATTAGCATTAATTAGCATTAACTACACCAACCTTTTCAGGCTCACTGAAATCGACGAATGGATGATATCTATAGAGCAAGCCAAAGACCTTCCAAGGAGTCTTAGGGGAGATTGAGGTCAATTTTTGATTTTTTTTCATTAGAATTTTTATGAAATGTAGAAAAGGGGGGGATCATTTTTTTTCCTTTTAAAGTAAAATTGTTTACTTTGTTTGCTAAACATCAGTGATGCAGGAGGATTACTGTATCCTATCAAACAACTCACCCCATTCAGAGACTACCCCCAGGGTCCCCTACATCATGTGCATAGCAAATAAGAATCCAACAGAAGATCAACAGAATAGATATAAATCTTTAACACTGTCATCAAATCTTTTCTTAAAATCATACACTATCTGTAATGAAAACACACAAGAAATTTGAGTGATGGTCTGCATATTAGAACAGATATCTTACAAATTAATAAGCAAAAAGCACAATACTTCTAGTAACTGTTGGACAAGCCATTTTGTCTAAATTTTAGCTTAACTAAGGTTACACTGTCCATTGTAAGAAACTGTATCTTAAAATAAGGTTAATCTAGATCGGTGCCAACAATGCTTCCCAGACTAACTAAGCAACAAAATGTTTAAGCCACTAGAAACAGGTCGTTGCATGTCAGGTTTAGGAAATTTCGCAACTGGACCCATTCATTCTCTATAGCATGAATTCAGATTCTAATGGCAAGGGTCAAAGGTTAAAAGGTGCAGTCCCAGGGTCCGCTCACCTTTCCATGGAGACCTGGTTCAGATGTGCGTCTCCACGTCGGTGAAGCCAGGCAGCATGTCCCCGTTGGCGCAGTGGCTGGGATTTGACAACATCTTGTCCGAGATCTGGTCCGCATCTGAGCTGTTCCGAGCCTTTTGCAGCCGCAGGTGGATGAGGGGAACGAAGAAGAGCACAAGCCCTCCTACCATTGGTGGGACCCCAGCAAGGTAAAATGCCACATGGTAATTCTTAAAGTAGTCATGGAGGAGTCCTGAGACAGGAAGAACACCAGAAAAAAAATTAGATAATAATCAACAATGCTTGTAACGCATTATGTAATAACACAGCATTATGTAATAACACAGCATTATGTAATAACTCGACAAAATGTAACAATTTTTCATTAGATAAATTTAAGGGAAAGGGAAATTCCAGAAAGCTTCATGACATTAAGTAGTTCGCTATCTCATACTCAAGATCATTTGCTGATTAATGAGTGTTTCTCAAATCCCTTGGTAAATAGTTTGTAATCTCATTCATAAATTAATGAGTGATCCGACCCACTCGTTATTTTCTATGTCGTTCTTTATTTGAACTTTTGCGTGCTATTCTGTCACAGACACACGTCACCCAAAATGGATCACAAAAACACACTGATGCTCTTTTTGGACAATGTAATAATAATAATAATGATAATAACGAATAGTTGCTACATATTTACATAATATTTAGTTATTACAAGTCATACTACGCTATGCTTTCACACTAATGTTCACTGCAGGGACGTAACCAACTTCCATAGCTCAGCAAGTAGAGCACTGTGCTAACAATGCAAAGGTCATTGGTTCAAATGCCCAGGAGCACACATAAATCATAACCCTTCCTTCTAGGGCAAGCCGCTTTGGATAAAAAGTGTCTGATCAATAAGTTAAATATAAATAATGTGAAAATCAGAAGATGATGCATTGACCCGAAGTGAGGCACAACTGAGAAACCGGAGTCAGTTGGTCCAGGGAGCGGCTGAGGTCACCACTCTGGTGGTAATGGGATCGGAACAGGTGGCTTTCTAATTATGGGCACTGAGTCCTAACTTACAGAGCCAGGCGCGACCTTTTCTCTAAAAATATATACCGGACCATGATGAAGAAGTTATTAAACACATCAGTGGTCAAGATTTTTCATGGTTTAGGTTTGTCGTAACGAAACATTCTACAAATGTAAAAATCATCAATGAGTACAGTAATGTTTATTTGGGTATTTGACAGTAGTACTTCGACAGTGCAGGACATAAGTAGGTAGAGATTATCATACTGCACACCAGCCTTCGTTTATGTATACGTTTCCATGATGCAACACATTTTAACAGCAATACTACTGCAGAATGAACTTCGGGATACTCCATTTTGGTTATTACCACCAATTAGCAAGTAGCTGTCCTGATCCTGCCATAGAAGTTAACCAAACAAGCAAAATGGACACTTAACTTGTCTATACTTCACTAAAGTAGAACTGGTCAATCTCAAGTCAGTTTAAGACATGTCTTTTTGATCTGCAGAAATATACTGTCGCAATTCGGAAGCTCACCAGAGTCGGAGACCACTGCTATAGAGGAACTTGCAGACTGGCAATGATTACATCCCACTGAGGAACATTAACCCAGTGTACTCAGTTAGAAATGGCTGCTCTTTTAGTTATGAGTGGGCTAACTGGAAAGTCCTATTGTGGGAGGGTGCAGAAAGGGGGGGGCATGAAGCAGGACTCACATGTCCCACTGCCAACATGCCAACAACCGGTTTCTCCTGCGAGGATCTCATTTTTGTATGTGTCCGAGAGAATCGGAGGACACTTTAAATCACCATGGAAAAGGCATTTCTTCTACCCCTTTATCTAGTTGCAGCTCCCCGATTTACACCATAACCGCTCACCCCACCCTCACCCTTATGGTTTGTGCATTTATAGCCTGTAAATTCAGTGTACAGGCTAATGATCTACAGATTCACAAAGCCAAGACAAGCTGTTACAAGCTGTTCCCCTTCTGAAGTTTGAAGTACGTAAGCGTGATGGCATGTGCGCTCGGCCCTCAATCCCCTGGGCATCTTCAGAACGTCAGGGCTGGCTGCTTTTTCAGGGATGACCAATCCAGAAAAAAACGCTGCCTGTCCAGACACGAGTAGAGAGTACATTATGGGGACACGGTGATGTGATTATGTTGAAGATGCTAATCCACCATATTTATTACCATCCATATTTACATGATGATATAAACGTCTTCACTGATGCACATATGGGAGACTCGTCCTATTTCTCCATTACCTGAGCTAGCCAGTGGAAATCTCTCTCAAATCGTTTACATTTACGAGCAATTAAACACTGACGTAGTCACCGTTGCGTCCATACTTCCTATTTTTAATGTTTGCCTGCAAATTACACTTTATTTTAGCGAGCGTGAATTTGGCAGAGACGTACAGATGACTCATAGGACCACCCTGAGGTTTCTAGCACCAGAACGGATACAGATGTCTGCATGTGCAGCTCCCAAGGCTCCGTGGACTGCTAACGGCATCCTGCTTGGCAAAAGGTTTTAGCCTGCAGGAATGCAAGCTTCTACTCAACCGGTGATGACCTGCAGGACCCATCCCTTCCCTCAGGACAATTCGCAGAGCTCTCCTTTCCAGCTGTGGACTATGACAGACTTGTGTACATGCTAGGTGATCTGTACTGTTCCCAAGCATGATTGACCCCCAAGGTCCAGTTTGTTTATCAGAGTGATCACGTCATACCGTGTCTGCTTGATGAGGTGGGCCCGGGCACAGTTAGTCGGACTCCAGCACAGTACGCATCCAGTGTGAGTGCTAACTGTGCCTGGGCACGGAACACAGACATGACGGTTGATGTGACTGACACATGCATGTACACATGTACACCATACATGATCGGCACCTGGAAAGAAATTATCGGGTAGGCTGCAGAGATCACGTCATTTTTTTTCTGCAAAACTAAACTGTGACAGAAAGTGACGCGTACAGATTGGGTGGTGACATACATATAACAGACGTGTCGGTAAGGGACCACTTTGGTCTATGGCAGAGGTGCAGTTTGCAGGAAGTTTGGGCGGATGAGAGTATCCAAGAACTGGATGCAACAAAAAATGCAAAAATTAAAATGTGTTGCATACTTGATAAATCCATAAGAGGACAGAGTATCATTATGCCCAAAATGACTCTAAATATTCCAAAACATATGGATATTAATCAGGAACTCCATTATGCAGTGCAATAGTGCTATTTTTCCTATGTTTCCTATGTTGCTTCAACACAAGAAATGGCACGGTGATGGTGAAAACATGCTTGGGCCAGGAAAGTGCAATGTGAGGACAGACCAGCGGGGGAGGGGGGCAATCGTGCTTGGAACATGGCAACCAGGCCAGGTGTGAGTCCGCCCTTATTACAAAAAGGCAACTACAGTCACTTATGGGAATTTTACTTACATAAAAATGTTCTGAGGGCAGAAGGAAAAATGGTTCAGGGAGATAATCAAAAGCGAGTCCAAACATCTGGCTGATTGGTCCCGCCTCCTCTTGTTGCTTTGACCCACCTCCTCTACAGTCTCCTCTCTGAATCATTTTTCCTTCCGCCCTCAGAACATTTTCGTTTAAGTAAAACTCCCAAAAGCAAGAAGCAGCGCTACGCTGGACCCAAGAAGCTCCAGTTGACATTGTGTCACCGACTTACTAGACTGTAATGGATGTTAATGTGAATGAAGATGAAAGGATAGCAATACACTTTCGGAAATTTCCACAAGATGCAAATTATGCTCATAATATCAGTTTGTATTTACAAAGACACGATTATGGCAGAGCTCTGAGATGAGATCAAAACCCATACAGTAAGCACGGCAAGAATATCCTACTGATAAATAAATAACGTAAAAATATCACCTTGGGCTGCTTGTATCGTCAAACAGCGATGGAATTAGACTGAGAGGTTACAGATGTATAAAAGCCAGACGTGCCAATGCAATGTGGCGTGGTGGTACTGACCGGCGATGGGAGGTCCAGCCGTCATGGGCACTGCCATGAGCCCCAGGAGGTAGCCAATGGCCTGGGAGGCCTGCATGGGTCCCACCAGCTCGAAGGCAATCGGAGCCATAATGGTGATGAAGCAGCCGTCAAAGAGGCCCAGGAGGAGACAGACGACCACCAAGCCTTCAAAGACACGGCACTGAGGGATCATCACCGACATGAGGCCCAGCACCATGAAGGAGGCTACCTTGGGAGAGACACACCAAGCGGGGGGGGGGGGGGGGGGGTCATACACTGTCTTCCCAGAATATTTAGATTTCTGTGGCTCCTATCGAAAAGAAACAGCCAGACTCCTAAAATAAGGGAGCAACGCTACCATAGCAACAACAGGGCTGTAACAATTCATCGATTCAATTCGATGTACAGTACTAATTGTCAAGGCTGCAATATGATTTTAATCAACTCAATTAACAAACATCGATTCATATCATTAAACTATGCTGCTGAAAAAAAAACAACACACAAAGCCATCTAGAGAATCACCTTAGCAGAGCAGACTAATACATTACAGTAAATTATGTAGCTCAGTATATCTATGTTCCTCCGTTTTCAGAGTAAAGTATACGTACAGAAATTTTTTGTTGCTGTTAAAATACTAACAAGACAGAATGTATCTTATGCAGACATTGTGTTTGAGACTTTATTTTGAAGCACTTTCTATAGTTTTTTCGATCACTTTCGTTGAAATGGAAAAATTAAACATTTAAGTCTTTCAGAATTAAAATAAATTTCCACCAATATCAGCTTGTTTCACTGTCTTGAAAATATCAATCATGTATCACTGAATCAAAACAAATCACATTTGAAATGTTACTGCGATACAATATCACCAGATATCAAATCATTACCTTGCAAAACCGAAATTGAATCGTATTGTGGCAAAGCTTATGATTTACACACCTAATCAGCAAGACCTCATCAACCCCTATGTCCCCTTCAAAGTCACTATGTTCATCAAGGCCTGAGGGTCAGAAATCAAAGTCCCATGTAAGCTTGTATGAGCTCCTCCCAGCCACAGGAGTTCAGAATCCCTTTTCACTTTGAAAATCATCTCTTCACTCCATATTTTAGCCTCAATCTTCTGAATGCATTTCCTTTTGTATGAATATACAAGTATCTTTAGCTTTTGATGCAATTATGAGGCTATTACACACCAGAGGTGGACAGTTCAAGTCCAGAAAGTAAACATCCAGACCAAGAGTTTGTTTCAACCAGCCAAATGAGTATAAAGTGTCACAGAATCAACTGGTTGGTTGAAACAAAATCCTGGTCTAGATTTTTACTTTCTGGATTTGAACACTGATACACGCTTATATGATCTGAGATCTTGCAGTCTCTTATAAATATATGTTATGTACTGCATTGTTCCTCTTCCAGTTCCCTTTCATCTGCTGACCCAAGCCCTCATTGGAATGCAGGAGGGAACCAGAGTACCCAGAGGGAACCGCACAACATGGGGTGAACATGCAACCTGTGCGCAAACACACACACACACACACAAACCCCAGAGGTGTGACACAACAGTGAAACCCACTGAGGCACTGTTCTGTCTTGACTCTCCCATATTAGCAAGACTCTTCAAACATCAGCTTTTCACAAGACTTACACTCAAATTATTGTACCAGGGCTCTTAGTTTGAACACAACATTCTCCCTGACTCATCTATCTCTTTGAAGGAAAGCATTTGCCAAGTACATAAATAAAAGGTACGATTACGTTTAGACTTTAAAACTTGTAAAGCTGATCACAAGTGAATCAAAGATGACTTGTAGATAGCTAGATATATCACTCCAGTTAAATTCATCCAGAGAGTGTTAACCTTTCGGACACAAGCTTTACCAGCAGGCCTATAGGTTCCATAACTAGAAAATGACATCAGTGGGGGTGGCAGAAGGGGGCGGGCAGGACGGAAAGCTGAAGGAAGCTCTGCACCCTGTTTGGAACAAAACGCCTTCCTTTCTGCCGGCCCAAACCCCAATCAACCGGCGGTAAATCTCTCCCCACCCTTGTTATTCCGCGGTTGGTTGTTCCCGTGGGCCATGGGGCCTCCCTCCATCTTACGTAATTTGTTTACGATCTTGGGGCCCGCTCAGAGCCGTGGGGGTAACCTCTGAGCTTCTAGAGAAAGGAGGTGGCAAGCCAAGCGAGCCTGGTTTATTTTTATTTTTTTTTAAACCTCCAGCTGAAATGAATCACCATACATCTCATCTTTAGACGTCTAGTCGCCCCCTAAGTCTAGGCAAGCTATTTCTGTCTTCAAGTATACACTCTGGATTTAGCATCAAATAATGATTTTTAATAATAAATAAGAAACGGTAATTGAGAGAGTCATTCTAGACTTTAATCACTAACGTGATTTCATACTAGTCTGACCTCATTTTGTTTCCAGCATCACTAATTCATCCCAGTTTGAGTTCTCCTAGCTGTGTGGAGTGATCTCCTGTCCGCACACAGCACCCAGACCCCTGATTGTCAGCTGACACTCCTACCTGCATGTAGATCTTCTTGAGGCCAGGAATGAGGTCTCCGACTCTCCCGGAGACCAGCCGACCCACCCCGGAAGACGCCCCGATGCAGACCAGCAGGATCCACTCCTTGTCAGTCTCTTTGAACTGCTCCTTTACGAAGTTCATCTACCAGATAAAAGGCAAAACGAGTTCTGTCAGGGCCCTCGGAGATTCAGGCATGGCTACTATTTCCTCAAGTCATCTCACTTGGACCTGCTGTTTATTCCTCTTCCCAGCAGCATTCTGTGTGACCTTTTACCTCTTTTACCTTCAAAGAGCTGCAAGAAAAACAGTGGAAGCGGAAAGCTACAGCTTGAATCCCACCCAAATAACGGCTAAACCAGCCGCTCAGCACTATTTCCTGACCCACGGCTTACAACCGAAGTTAAATATTTTCTCTTCTTTGAGAAGTTCGGCGAGGCAGGTAACATCAATGGCCTGGGGGCCTGATATTTTGAGCATATATTGAGTGTGGCGTTTCCTGTGTGGCTCGATCGTATCAGCAAGCCCTCTCCAAGCCGTGCCTCTGACTTAATAACTCGGTCACATGGTTAACAAAAGCCGGGGTTTTGTTTACGTCTGGCCAATAGCCAGAAAAAACAGGACAGCGCAGGGAACATCATGATCGGGCTTCTAGTTTTGCACAAATTTGAAGAGAAGGGCTTGGACATATTAGCAGATGGGCACCTTGATGTCTCTCAGTTTGACGATGGTCAATAAAGACCCTCAGCGTGGTGAAGGAGAACGCACGACTTGCGTACATTTCTCTACCCACAAGCGGATCCAACAGCAGGGGCAAGCCTGGCTTCCTCCACGTTTGCACGTTACGTAACATTACATAACATTATTATTTAAAAAATCCCTCCAACTAGCTATTGCCACTGAGCATTTAATCGGAAAGTGACACTGAAATAGGCATTTACCGAATGGACTGATGAAATATTGAACATCAAAAATATTGCTAATTTTGCCATTAGAGAAAATAATAAAATTACATTACACACATTAGTATAAAGTGTGTGCTACAGCTATATGAAATAAACTAGCTTCATATGTAATAAAGTTAATATCTTCAATCACAAGCTTCACATAAAGCATCAAAATTCACAAATACATTCACCGGGTTGGGTTTGCTTTCGATATTTCAGTAGACATAAAGAGCACATTAAATAACAGAATGCTAGATAGACAGACAGACAGCCAGCTAGATAGAGAGACAAAGTCAACTAGATATGCAGACAGAGAACCAGCTAGATTTACAGAAAGGGGTAGATATAGACAGCTAGATAGAGACATCTGGATATGGCCGAATAGCCCCCTCTCGTTTGTAAACTTCTTATGTTCTTATATACAGATGGACAGTTAGATATATATTACTTCAGTTTAGTTTACCCGCAACTTAACACATAACATACCGTAACTATGGCTGCGGGTGCTGCTGTATATCCCATTTTTATCTATTATGCTTGTGAATTAACATGTCTATGCATGTAACGACCGCCCCATGCTCTCTGCCTTTCTTCCCACATGCCCGGATGGTGCCCGGTGTGGGCACCATCTGAGCTGGAGTCCTGGTTAAGTCTTACGGAGGGGTGACACCGTGGATTTGACTTACGGACTGTAACAACCATTCAGCTTGTTAGTATTGGGCTTTATCCAGTTGACCTACTGTACTATGTCACAGACGTAGAAAAATAATACAATTAATAATAACGAAGGCGTGGACAGATTAAGTGACATAAGCTTTGATTGCGATCTGGTCGGAAGAACAGATACAACAAGATCAGGATAGCATAACAAGAAATAAAGCATTCTGTATAATATACTATGACAGCTTGGTATTGGAAATTTTCAAATATTGCAATGTGATTTTGTTGTAATAAATATTGGAGTATTTATGAAACAAAAAGGGAGTTTAATATAAATTTCTCACTAACCCATCTAGGAGTGGTTTAAACAACAAGGATAACAATGATTATGATCGTCTCGGAGAACGTATGCAGCGATCATGCAAAAACAGTGGAGGTAAAGTTTAATCTGATCTCCAGACATATACTAGATAATTCTGAAATTGAATAATCATTAAAATCGCAAAACTTGCTAAGATTTTTTTTTTTACCTATGACAGAGTAAAAAATGTTTTAGTGAGACTCCCTGCACTATAATATTCATACCCAATTGAAGGAAAAAGCCTGATCTTAATCTAGTTCACTAGCCATGTAAGAATTGGATGTGCATAACATGTGATGTTGGTATTAATATCGCACATCATACATCTCTATAATATACTACGGCCATTTTTTGAATTCGGTACAAAATAACCTACCTCGCGTTCTGATGTTATTCTGCGCCTGTAACAGTTTTTACACTAGTGTAAAACCAACACCCTTCAGTACCATATTTTTGGTACCCTCTTGAAGTACCAAAAGTACTGTACCTGGTGCGGTGGAAAAGCACCCTTTAGATGAGCAATGAATTGGAGTTAACAGCGCTGTACTTTTCGTACATGCTGTACAACCTCTGCTATGCAACCTCTGCTATACAACCTCTGCTATGCAACCTCTGCTATGCTCCAACCTTCTTCTGTGTACTTCCAGGCCAAAGCCTGCGGGGGAGACTGAAGCATGTGCAGAGCGCATAGGCCAGTTTGAGTCCGATTAAATGTATAAATGCAGGAGTAAATCGACTCCCAATCGCATTATGTGGGTGTCTTAGTAAGACTTTGACTTAGTAGTCGATTTAGTGAGATGACAGTTGGACTAACACGTTTACATGTATTCACAAGTCCGATTTTAATCGGACTAACACAATAATTTGATTTATTCAGTGTGAATAAATCATGGAATTTAGCTTTAACCTTGATCACAGTTTAGACCTTACTTTTAGCAAGCAAGCCCACTCTTTCTTTCGGTGTTAGCATGCCTGCGGGGGGGGTTGGGCAGCCAGTTGACCCCCAAAGTGTTTTCTCTCCATATGTGGGAGTTTTTGGTTCCTGTCCTCCATTGTCATCTGGCTTTCCTTTTCATTTCTTTGTCTTCCTTCTTCCCTGTTTTTGTATAATTCCGTCTTAATGATGTTGTGATGTATCACGACACACCCATGTAGAGCACCTTACGGCGATATATAAGAATAAACTGAATTGAACTGAATAGACAGATATACAGACAAGCTGAGACATAATTTGTTTGTTTTCATCAAACCTTTCACTGAAGAAATGAAACAAACAGGAGGCTCACCAAGTGAATGTAGGGCACGAAGTATCCCAGTACGGCTGTGGCCACCCCGAATGCCCACACCCTGTAGGTGGTGATGTGAAACACTCTCAGGTTGAAGTACTTCCTCATCTGGGAGAGGCCCCCTCTCCAGCGGCCGCCGCCATCCTGGGGTGAGGCACCATGGTCGCTGCTGGGCAGCAGTGGGCGGAAAGTGAGAGCCAGCAGGGCCTGGATGAACATGAAGATGCTGAGCACCTGGAACGTCCGCTGGAGCCCCAGTGGCTCCACCACCTTCTTGAGCAGGACGGGCAGGCCCATGGAGAACAAGCTGCTCCCCGCAGTCACCACGCCATTGGCCAGGCCCAGGCGGCGTCGGAAGTAGTGGCCCAGGATAACCAGAGAGGGCTGGAACGCGAAAGAGGAACCGCAACCGAAGAGGATCCCGTAGGTGAAGTAGCGGAGGCCCAGAGATCTGTCGCGAGAAGGGAAGGTGGTTAGAAAGGCTCCCTAAGTCCATCCACCCATCTGTCCTGTAACCACTTATCCAGCAGAGACATGGGGAGGGGGGGATCTGGATCCTATCCCAGGCAGCATAGTGGGGGACTGAAATCTGGTGGGCCATGTGCTCCAAAACCAGGCAGCATTCATGTTATTTATACCGACAGATTTCAAATAAAAGACAACAGTGAACATGGGTGCTTCCTCATCTGCAACTACGCATCTGAATCTCATAAATGTAACTGTGGCTAAATGTTATAAAGTGCTAAAAATACCCATATTAAATCGCCAGATTCAGCCAATTCTTTGTGGCATCCTCATAGCCTGCCAAGGGGCTGCTTTAATCTCCTTATAAATCACACTCAAACCAACGTACAAACTTATATTCACAAGTCTGTTAAAAGGCTTTCACGTGTGCATGCGTGTAATTCACGTGTACCCTGCCCATGTCTGATCACCACCACTTTCACCAGGCTAGCATTGATAAATGATATGGGGGAAAACAAGGAAATTACATTAATCTAATCTATTAACCCATCTTAAAAGGTGTTGCTTATACTCAACTGAATCTGGAACAGGCCAGAATGCTGTAGGAACATGACAGCTTTCCTCACCAAAATTTGCCCTGCACGCCATTATCAGCAGCCTCACGGGGGGGGGGTGACTTGGTTCTGTCGCCATGATCACCTGCTGAGGGCCAGTTACTGTGCAGCAAAGCAGGCTTACTATTATTATTAAGGTAGAATTCTACTGCTTGCACTACATTCACCTGAAATTTGCTGCTAGGAACAGGGCAGGACAAAAACAAATGCCAACTTCCTTCACGTCTCTATAGGAGACTGGGCGACTTTCCTGTTTTCTCAGCAGCTAAATCGTTCAAGAGCAATGAGTATAAATTTGGATCAGGCTTGAAATTTCTCTGGCTGATTGTGAGCTACCAAATCAAAGGCCTTCTTGCCAGTCCTGCCCCACAATGACCAAGGCCTAATTGCATTTAAAACCTAAAGTAAGCCTAACCTTATTTATACTACAGCTCTACCCGCCAAGGTCATTCTCGCGGCCAATCGGATACTGAGCAAGGCTTCGTTTGTCCGAACGTAGCCAGAAATCAACTTGTGGGGGAAAATAATTAAATAAATAAAAAATCAACCCATGGGCAATGTACGGGCATTGCTGGATTTCGCCTACAACCTGATGGACGACTTACCAGACGAAAAAAGAAATAATGAATAGCCCAACATGATGATGTACTCAACACTGTAAACAACAGCAGAAACTAAAAAACCAGGATTCCTAGGGGCTATTGCAGGCAGAAGCAGGGGAGGGCCATGTGGGTGGGGGGGGGGCGGATTTAATGAAGGGCCATGTGGGTGAAGTGGCTTTCCGTGTGCTGCCGTTACAATTAACGATTAAAATGTTAGAGGTGAGTGCGGCTTGATTTAGCTACGTTTTGAGAGCTCAGTGCAGAAAGGACCTTGGAGGGTGGCGGGGCGTTAGGGGGCTGAGCCGACGGAAAAGGCTAATTACGTGGCGAAGGAACTGGCCAGGAGTCCAAGGGAAGCCACTAGCGCGCCGCTCACCGCCGTTTTCCGGCAGCCGAAATGGTCGGTGAACATGCTGACCACGGGGGAGCAGAAGAAAATCATGCCCATGGCTAGGGCCCCGACCCAGGCTGGACACGGGGGGGGGGGAGAAGGGGGGAGAAGGGGGAGAGAAACACACACAGAGTTACGGTATGATCATCATATTCGGATGTTCGCACAAAATAACATTAACAATAAATAAAATATTAAAGATAACGATCGGATGCTGGACTGGCTCCCCGTGCTGCCTGTGATATTCCATTCAATTCTATTTATATAGCGCTTTTAACAACAGTCATTGTCACAAAGCACTTTACATATAACCGGCCAGGACCCCCAGCCTGGACAGCTTCAGCTTCACAGTGACGTTCTACTAGATTACTGGCATGGAAGCTTGATACAGGGATTCAGCAAAGTATTACAAGGCATCAAAAAAAATTATATTCACATCAAACTCAAGCTATATTAATCAGCTCTAAATATACAGAGTTCAGACCCTAATTCTGCAGTAAAAACAATAAAACCTTACAAACTAATAACTCGTACAAATACAAGACCAACACAATAAACAGATAAAATGACTTAAGACAGTATAAATTAAAAATCACATTGGATCCCACAACAAACTGCGATCTCTTCCTCATATTATTTTGTGTAAACCATAAAATGTATCCCATGTAGTTCTGGCTTGACATAACTGCAAATTTTAAATAAGCCATTACTGAACTGGAGGTCACCCTAAATTACTGAAGGAGCATATTTTGGGTTTTACACCAGTGTTTCCCAACCCAGTCTTCAGGGACACACAATCAGTCCATGTTTATGATCCCTCCCAGCTCCAGGTAAAAATGTAAAATGCTTGCGGATCCCCAAGGACCAGATTGGAAAACACTGGTTTAGACCATTTAAATATGTTCTTTAGGAGTTAATGGCTCAAAACCAGGATCCAAAGCTGGAAGGGGCCCCCATGTGTCCACAGTACTGCCCTCGCTGACCAAACCCTCTTGCTGTCCATGGGGACGAAAGGAAAATGCCATTTCAGGCACCGGGGAATGTGGGCGGGCGGCCGGCCAAGACGCACAAGTGTGGCAGCGCAACATGAGGAAGGGGAAAGAAAAAGAAACCGGCTTCCCAGACCGGCGTGAGCAGTTCCGCATATTCCAGGCAGCCTCCCCCACCCCCCGCTGCTGTCGTCACCCGCTTCCAGACTCGCATTCTTTCACGCCACTCCGTGCCGCTCATCTGCTGCTCGGAAGCCGGGCCCTCGGAAGCCGGGCCCTTGGAGGCTCATGGCCTCCAAACACAACACAGAAAAAGCTTCACATGGTAAAAGGTCAGCGCTAGCTGTCTTTTTTTTTATCGTATATATGCTTTTATTTGTGTATATTTCGTGTACTTTTAAAATTTGTTTGTACTAGGTGTTCCGTATTTGCACTGTGAATTTCTGTACATACCTTGCCGCTGTATGAAATGGAATTCTCCCGGGGATCAATAAAGTTAATCTCATCCTAAAAAAAATTAGATATTGAAATAATTCTTCTGTATATATTCTATACAATAGCGGAATAAGGGATTTTACACAGTTTAACCCAATACGATATCAGCTGTGTTCACTATCAATTAACACAAATCATGTTATTCAGGACTTGGTTTAAAAATAGGATCCTGAAGACTGCAAACCTGCATGCATCAAACATTGCCATCTAATATGAACAAATACTACAAAATACTGAATCAAATCTTTATAAAATGCCAAGCGCGACACTAAAAGTGTAAAATGATAGCCGATGGACTCCAGTGGAGCCTGAGGTACTTCGTGAGGACGCAGAACTTCCCAGAACCAGAAGTCCTTAGAACTGGTTCTCCTCTTGCTGTTAATGGTGCTTTTCTAAAGTCACCAGGAAACCAGCCGTACCCGACCGCCATCCAGGCCGACGGAGCCCATCTAACGAAAGTGTGACTAAGCTGGGCTGGTTGCATCAGCGCCAACTGATTGGTCGAAATGCACAGAGACAAGACAGAACCGGTGATCTGCATCGATATACATGTATCAGTAGTACTGTACATCATAAGAACATAAGAACTATACAAACGAGAGGAGGCCATTCGGCCCATCGAGCTCGCTTGGGGAGAACTTAACTAATAGCTCAGAGTTGTTAAAATCTTATCTAGCTCTGATTTAAAGGAACCCAAGGATTCAGCTTGCACTACGTTATCAGGAAGACTATTCCATACTCTGACTACACGCTGTGTAAAGAAGTGCTTCCTTAAATCCAGTTTGAAATGTTCTCCCGCTAATTTCCACCTATGGCCACGAGTTCTTGTATTTGAACTAATGCTGAAGTAACTATTCGGTTGAACAGCATCCAAACCTGTTAGAATCTTATAGACCTGGATCATGTCCCCCCTCAGTCTCCTTTGCTTGAGGCTGAACAGATTTAGCTCAATTAACCTTTCCTCGTAGGACATTCCTCTAAGACCAGGAATCATTCTTGTGGCCCTACGCTGCACCTTTTCTAAGGCCGCTATGTCCTTTTTAAGATATGGTGACCAAACCTGTACACAATATTCTAGGTATCACAACGTACTGATATATTCCCAATAACTCAGAACTTAAACTTTCAACAACCTACTTAAAAAGTACTATAGAACAGCTGAACAGAGTGGATTCGTAATGTAATTTTACGCGGCTCATGCTAATTCCGCTGCGATTCGCACAGACGTGCTAGCAGAAACTAGCACACAGTAAATCACAGTGTAGACCGTGTGGACAGCAATAAGCATCTCTTTGGTTTTACATCACTGTCGCTCTCCAAACCCGGCAACGCCTTTACTGAGCCAACCCTTCTGCAGTGGAAAACTGAAGCGATCTGGAACTGCGCTGTAACAAGTGTCTCTTTGCGATACAGCTTGGGTACGATCTGGTTCCTGCATGCCAGTGGAAAAGTGCCATAAGTTGACATCCATTTGCTCCCTATTCACACCCCCACAGAGAAGGAAGTCGAGATGCATTTCACTGGATAATCACAACATTCGTATCTGGCTGCATTATAACTGGCCCATGCTGAATTAACATCTCCTTTGAAGTGTATAACCAGATACCCCCCAGAAAAACATCCCACACTGTGGGGCTATTCTGTAGCGTCCTGTTCTGGGCTTTGGTGAGGAAAAAATGGTTTTTTTTTTTTTTTTGGAATATGTGTGTGGGTGCTGCAGGAACTTTGTTGTTCTGGGACATAAACATGGAATGCATCGTTTCCTGGAGATCACCGACAGACAGGAACTGATATTACAGGATTCAGGAACATTTACACAAGGATTCCTGGTGTTTCGTGGATCATTGTGTGCTTTTCAGTTCCGGGACTGCATAGTACAAAGAATATTTTGTCACCATTCATAAAGTATGTTTTTTTCTGGGTTTATTTATTTGTCTGTCATACTGATTACCTTGTACCCTCCAAAAAACAAAAAAAAATGGTTTTTAACAGTCTTTCCGTTATCAAGGGATTAAATCCATCAAGTGACACTCATGAAATTAACGTAAAATACTTAAAGATTAATGACCCTACTTTTGTGGCTGACTGCTCAGAGCAAAAGTGTAGAAGACAACAGTAGAATGAAGACCAGCCTGAACTTCTTTGTCCGCAGTCCCAGCTGCCCAACGTCGGCCGGCCTGTCATGCTTATCCTCCGTCATACTCTTCTGAGTCAGGGACACGGCAGAGCGAGTGTCACTAATCTTTGCACTTTTAAAGCAGAGGCCGAAGTTTCATTCAATTTCCAATTCACATAACTGCAAACACATGTGCAGAATGGGTTGGTGTAAGAGGGAACGGGAGCAGCAGAGAGCAGGGTGAATTTTAAGCGACTTCCTTACAGGAGTTCTTCCGCAAGCTGTTCAAACTGCCAAACCTGAATGCCTTTTCAAAGACGTAACGCAGCGAGCGAGAGAGTATTACCAGGGTTAACCACGCGGTACCCCTGACCCTGTGAAAGCCTTGGCATTTTCTCTCTTAAGTGAAACATTTCAATACACCCGTGAGCATTGAGTCCATTGTTCTGCCTCTTCGTGTGGAGAGTCAAAGCAGTAGCCTCCCTTATACACAAGAGGCACAGAGGAAAGCAAATTCAAAGCGTTGGTGTGCCAACACAGGCGAGCCGAACATGGCGGGTCAGCTAAGGGGTTTTGAGTACAGCGATTCAGAAGCGGCCGACAAAGGATTTGTTATTTGTTTTTAAATGAGGAAACTTGGCCTCTGAAAATGAAGGGTTCACTCTGCCGGTGAATATTTACACACCGTAAAGAATCGAACTTAGTGAATCCACTGTGACCCTGACATCTGGCAGAACATAATCTACACGGTACCATACTCAACAAGGACAAGATACCAAATGGTGCAGCTGCCAATGTCCCACTGACACATTCCACACATTTAATATGGTTTTTGCATGACTTTTTGCACAGACATGGAGAAAACTTTACATGCACGGGTAGGCGACGTCAGTGACTTAATGACACCACCAGAGACAGTCTTCATTGCGAACATCTCTAAGAATTATCCCGGGAAAATCTCCTGATGTGACAATTCTGTTTCATTGCCTCCTGCACCATGCCCCACCCACATCTACAAAAAAAGGGACTCACCTTAGTCTCAACCAGTTAGGATGAACCCACCATCAAAAAGGCTGCCAGACTGTGACGAAAACCTGCTGACTACACTCCAGAAAAGGCCTTTTGGATAAAGGTCAGAATACCACAATCTGGACCAAGATGGGTCACCTCCCTCTCTGGGTCTCATGAGCCCCAGTTCAGATTTACATGCTAAACTTATTTTTCCACAATTCTAGAGGTTTATAGCTGCGATCAGGTCCTGTTTGTTATGCGAAACCCAGATCAAATACCAACATTACTTTGAGATATCATGACTTTCTGAGTTTGAGCCATGATCGATAGGGACCATCAGCAATCAGATTTCACTTTAGGGTAGCAGGCTATAGCGATCAGCTCTACAGCGCCTCTATGAGCTGCGAATCCTGCGAGCCTAGCTCCAACATCTACATTAATTTGGAGATTTAATATCCCTACACAG